GCATTAGAAGGGGTGGGAGATGAGAAAATGTTGGACGGGCAAGGAGGCATGAATGAGTCCAATAGGAATCCTGACTTAATGAAGTGGTGATTAAAGAGCTCAGCCATGTGCTCCGTGTCAGTAACAACCACATCATCAACATTAAGGGACATGGGCAGCTGTGAGGAAGAGGGTTTATTCTCCAGGTCTTTAACCGTTTTCCAGAACTTCTTGGGGTTCGACCCACAGAGAGAACCAGCTTTAGCCTTCCAGATAGCCTGAGTGGACTTAATGATCATTTTGCCTCATTTGTACCGAGCCTTTCACCAAATGGTGCTTCTGCGTACCATTTGTATTGGTGTACCGAGCCTTTCACCAAATGGTGCTTCTGCGTACCATTTGTATTGGTGTATCGAGCCTTTCACCAAATGGTGCTTCTGCGTACCATTTGTATTGGTGTACCGAGCCTTTCACCAAATGGTGCTTCTGCGTACCATTTGTATTGGTGTATCGAGCCTTTCACCAAATGGTGCTTCTGCGTACCATTTGTATTGGTGTACCGAGCCTTTCACCAAATGGTTTTCTTGAGGTGGAGTAACTCTGCCAGATCACGGTCGAACCAGGGGCAGAACCTGTTTTTAATTCTCATTTTCTTTATGGGGGCGTGTTTGTTATCTGTTTTAATAAACCTAATTATTTCTTTTTTTACTTATGTATTGTTTATAGTTTTTTATGGTTTTTATATCAGCCCTTGGGCTTGACTCAACATTAGTTAACAAACGTATTTTAAACAACATAGCCAAATAGCCTACAAGCCTACTGAATAGGCCAATGAATGAATTAAATAAATAAACTAGTAAATTAAATAAATAAGACAAAAATATATATATATATCCCATTCCGTATGTGCAGTTGTGCCTCCCAAATAACAATTATTAGTTATAGACAAATAGACTAACTATGCATGCTTCTCCCGTCGCTCCTCCAGCACACTGTAGCTATATCTATCTATCTATCTATCTATCTATCTATCTATCTATCTATCTATCTATCTATCTATCTATCTATCTATCTATCTATCTATCTATCTATCTATCTATCTATCTATCTACTATCTATCTATCTATCTATCTATCTATCTATCTATCGATCTATCTATCTATCTATCTATCTATCTATCTATCTATCTATCTATCTATCTATCTATCTATCGATCTATCTATCTATCTATCTATCTATCTATCTATCTATCTATCTATCTATCTATCTATCTATCTATCTATCTATCTATCTATCTATCTATCTATCTATCTATCTATCTATCTATCTATCTATCTATCTATCTATCTATCTATCTACTATCTATCTATCTATCTATCTATCTATCTATCTATCTATCTATCTATCTATCTATCTATCTATCTATCTATCTATCTATCTATCTATCTGTCGCTCTGTCGCTCTGTCTGTCTGTCTGCCTGCCTGCCTGCCTGCCTGCCTGCCTGCCTGCCTGCCTGCCTGCCTGCCTGTCTGCCTGCCTGCCTGCCTGTCTGTCTATGCATGCAGCCCCATTACACTGGCAATACGCCGACTTCATCTTGCCTCACTGACTTGACAAATAGTGAATTCAACCAAATCAGTTAGACAAGCAAACAAATAATTGGCTCTGTAATTTTATCTGAATAAATTATAACACACATTTTATGTGGGGTAAAATGACAAGTAGCCAACTTTTCCTGAGATGCTATAGCAGTCAGTCTCTACTATAGTAGTCAGTCTCTACTATAGCAGTCAGTCTCTACTAAAGTAGTCAGTCTCTACTATAGCAGTCAGTCTCTACTATAGCAGTCAGTCTCTACTATAGCAGTCAGTCTCTACTATAGTAGTCAGTCTCTACTATAGCAGTCAGTCTCTACTATAGCAGTCAGTCTCTACTATAGTAGTCAGTCTCTTCTATAGCAGTCAGTCTCTACTATAGCAGTCAGTCTCTACTATAGCAGTCAGTCTCTACTATAGAAGTCAGTCTCTACTATAGTAGTCAGTCTCTACTATAGTAGTCAGTCTCTACTATAGCAGTCAGTCTCTACTATAGCAGTCAGTCTCTACTATAGTAGTCAGTCTCTACTATAGTAGTCAGTCTCTACTATAGCAGTCAGTCTCTACTATAGCAGTCAGTCTCTACTATAGTAGTCAGTCTCTACTATAGCAGTCATTCTCTACTATAGCAGTCAGTCTCTACTATAGTAGTCAGTCTCTACTATAGCAGTCAGTCTCTACTATAGCAGTCAGTCTCTACTATAGTAGTCAGTCTCTACTATAGCAGTCATTCTCTACTATAGCAGTCAGTCTCTACTATAGTAGTCAGTCTCTACTATAGCAGTCAGTCTCTACTATAGCAGTCAGTCTCTACTATAGCAGTCAGTCCTCTACTATAGCAGTCAGTCTCTACTATAGCAGTCAGTCTACTATAGCAGTCAGTCTCTACTATAAGCAGTCAGTCTCTACTATAGCAGTCAGTCTCTACTATAGCAGTCAGTCTCTACTATAGCAGTCAGTCTCTACTATAGTAGTCAGTCTCTACTATAGCAGTCAGTCTCTACTATAGCAGTCAGTCTCTACTATAGCAGTCAGTCTCTACTATAGCAGTCAGTCTCTACTATAGCAGTCAGTCTCTACTATAGTAGTCAGTCTCTACTATAGCAGTCAGACTCTACTATAGCAGTCAGTCTCTACTATAGCAGTCAGTCTCTACTATAGTAGTCAGTCTCTACTATAGTAGTCAGTCTTACTATAGCAGTCAGTACTACAGTGACTCAGTCAGTAGGGTTAGTGGCTGTGTGTGCTTCTGCGTACCATTTTAGCAAAAACAAATGAAAGCAGGCTGATTTTGTCTGACAATCATTTAAGAGAATAAAATGTTAATGTCTGAAATTTTAGTTGTTTATGAACTAAACTCTTCCAATTTAATTTCGGGTCTGTCGGGTCTGTCTGGCCAGAGATCCGAGTCCACCAAACGGGACCCGACCCAGATCTGAGGGTCAACTACAGAATTTAAACCCGACCCGGCTCCTACCCTGACCCGTGAAGAGCTCTAGTACCTGCATGTCGTAGGTCTTGACTCCAGAGTGATACAGCAGGACCGTAGCCCTGGTGTGGGCGGAGCCCATCCTAAACCTGTCCACCACTGATAGGATGAACCCTTTGACGGACAGGAAGTCCTCCTCGCTGAGCGCTGCCGAGCCATCCAATAGGAAGGCCAGGTCCATGGCCCGGTCACATGACTCCTCCGGCATCACCGTGGAGACGGGCAGGGTGGTGGGTGTGGTCAGACCAGCAGGAGGAGTGGTCGAAGTGACGGTGTCCAGAAGAGCACAAACCTCACAGCTCAGAGTGTTGTTCTCACAGTGGCTGGAACAAACACACATAATTAGATTGATAGTTCCAGACATTATTCCAGACATATCAAGTGTCTGTGGTGTGTGTTACCATATCTGACAGTGCTGGGGGTCGTCATGGTTCAGGATGACCTTCTTGCCATGGGAGATCCTCTCTCCGTTATGGTAACATATGTGGCATTGGGCAGGTTCAACACACTGCATGGAAACCTCATCCAATAGCTGACCTACATGGCAGAGGGGGAGGGGTTACTGCTGCCTGCACTGTGTGTGTATGTGTGTGTGTGTGTGTGTGTGTGTGTGTGTGTGTGTGTGTTTATGTATGAGGGGTGATATGGGGACTAAATGAACTAACCTAGCTACTGATACATTTCACCTAGTCACCTAATATGGAACTGAGCGCATTAAGAAACTGTCTTGAATTAAAATGGACTGTCAATGGAGACACGATTAGTTCTTAGGCGTTCACATTCACGGGTTCACACATGCTTTTACACGTTCACACGCCTTGTTGAATGAGTGAACGTGTCAACGCATGTGTGAACACGTATGAATAAATGAAAATATATTTCAGCTAGAATTGCCTCGGCCTTGTGTTTTTCTGTCCCAGTTATCAGGGTTGAACAAATCAAATTTCAATGGTCACAAAGTATTTAGCAGATGTTATTGCAGGTGTAGCTCCAACTGTGCAGTACTATCTAACAATTCACAACAATACATACAAAGGAATTAAGAAATATATAAATATTAGGACGAGAAATGTACGAGTGGCATTGACAATGCCTATTCCCGATCAGGAGACTGAAAAGATTTGGCATGGGTCCTCAGATCCTCAAAAAGTTCTACAGCTGCACCATCGAGAGCATCCTAACTGGTTGCATCACCGCCTGGTATGGCAATTGCTCTACATCTGACCCCAAGGCGCTACAGAGGGTAGTGCGTACGGCCCAGTACCTCACTGGAGCCAAGCTTCCTGTTATCCAGGACCAATATACCAGGCGGTGTCAGAGGAAGGCCCTAAAATGTTCCAAAGACTCTAGCCACCCTAGTCATAGACTGTTCTCTCTGCTACCGCACAGCAAGCGGTACCGGAGTGCAAAGTCAAGTCGAAAAGGCTCCTTAACAGCTTCTACCCCCAAGCCATAAGACTCCTGAACATCTAATCAAATGGCTACCCAGACTATTTACATTGACCCCCCCTTTGTTTTTACACTGCTGCTACTCGCTGTTTTATTATCCGTACCTACATGTACATATTACCTCAATTACCTTGACTAACCTGTACCTCCGCACATTGACTCGGTACCGGTACCCCCAGTATATAGCCTAGTTATTGTTATTTTATTGTGTTACTTTTTTAACTTCAGTTTATTTAGTAAAGATTTTCTTAACTCTTATTTTTCTTACAACTGCATTGTTGGTTAAGGGCTTGTAAGTAAGCATTTCACGGTAAGGTCTACACCTGTTGTATTCGGTTTTGACCAGAATACAGTAGATACATATGAAATGAGTAAAACAGTATGTAAACATTATTAAAGTGACCAGTGATTCCATGTCTATGTACATAGGGCAGCAGCCTCTAAGGTGCAGGGTTGAGTAACCTGATCATAGTAGAGGTCATGTTTCATGTCCCAGTTATCAGGGTTGATCATAGTAGAGGTCATGTCCCAGTTATCAGGGTTGATCATAGTAGAGGTCATGTCCCAGTTATCAGGGTTGGTCATAGTAGAGGTCATATCCCAGTTATCAGGGTTGATCATAGTAGAAGTCATGTCCCAGTTATCAGGGTTGGTCATAGTAGAGGTCATGTCCCAGTTATCAGGGTTGATCATAGTAGAGGTCATGTCCCAGTTATCAGGGTTGGTCATAGTAGAGGTCATGTCCCAGTTATCAGGGTTGATCATAGTAGAGGTCATGTCCCAGTTATTAGGGTTGATCACAGTAGAGGTCATGTCCCAGTTATCAGGGTTGATCATAGTAGAGGTAATGTCCCAGTTATCAGAGTTGATCATAGTCGAGATCATGTTTCATGTCCCAGTTTTCAGGGTTGATCATAGTAGAGGTCATGTCCCAGTTATCAGGGTTGATCATAGTAGAGGTCATGTCCCAATTATCAGGGTTGGTCATAGTAGAGGTCATATCCCAGTTATCAGAGTTGGTCATAGTAGAGGTCATGTCCCAGTTATTAGGGTTGATCACAGTAGAGGTCATGTCCCAGTTATCAGGGTTGATCATAGTAGAGGTAATGTCCCAGTTATCAGAGTTGATCATAGTCGAGATCATGTTTCATGTCCCAGTTTTCAGGGTTGATCATAGTAGAGGTCATGTCCCAGTTATCAGGGTTGATCATAGTAGAGGTCATGACCCAGTTATCAGGGTTGATCATAGTAGAGGTCATGTCCCAGTTATCAGGGTTGGTCATAGTAGAGGTCATGTCCCAGTTATCAGGGTTGATCATAGTAGAGGTCATGTTTCATGTCCCAGTTATCAGGGTTGATCATAGTAGAAGTCATGTCCCAGTTATCAGTGTTGATCATAGTAGAGGTAATGTCCCAGATATCAGGGTCAGAGGTCATTGTTCATGTAAAGGTCATAGTTCATGCTGCCGGCGGAAGGGGCGGTCCTAATTTTTAGTCCCGCTGATTTTAAAAATGACTTTTCTACTTTTCCTCATTATGTTCTTGGTATAAAAATCACATTGACATTTATTGTCATTATATTCTAGGTATAAAATCACATTTATATTTATTGTCATTATATTTTAGGTATAAAATCACCTTTATATTTATTGTCATTATATTTTAGGTATAAAATCACCTTGATATTTATTGTCATTATATTTTAGGTATAAAATCACCTTTATATTTCTTGTCATTATATTTTAGGTATAAAATCACCTTTATATTTATTGTCATTATATTTTAGGTATAAAATGACCTTGATATTTATTGTCATTATATTCTAGGTATAAAATGACCTTGATATTTATTGTCATTATATTCTAGGTATAAAATGACCTTGATATTTATTGTCATTATATTCTAGGTATAAAATGACCTTGATATTTATTGTCATTATATTCTAGGTATAAAATGACCTTGATATTTATTGTCATTATATTCTAGGTATAAAATCACCTTGATATTTATTGTCATTATATTTTAGGTATAAAATCACCTTTATATTTATTGTCATTATATTTTAGGTATAAAATCACCTTGATATTTATTGTCATTATATTTTAGGTATAAAATCACATTGATATTTATTGTCATTATATTCTAGGTATAAAATCACCTTGATATTTATTGGTATTATATTCTAGGTATAAAATCACCTTGATATTTATTGGTATTATATTCTAGGTATAAAATCACCTTGATATTTATTGTCATTATATTCTAGGTATAAAATCACCTTTGTCACATTATTCACATGTAAATATTGCTGGCTGAACTTCATTGTTCATTCATTCCTCTCCTCTCCCCAGTTTGGGCCATAGGTGTGTGGTGTGCCAATGGCGGGTGCAAGGCCAGCTGATTAATAATAATAAGTATTTAATTATATATACAGTGGGGGAAAAAAGTATTTAGTCAGCCACCAATGGTGCAAGTTCTCCCACTTAAAAAGATGAGAGAGGCCTGTAATTTTCATCATAGGTACACGTCAACTATGACAGACAAAATAAGAAAAAAAAATCCAGAAAATCACATTGTAGGATTTTTAATGAATTTATTTGCAAATTATGGTGGAAAATAAGTATTTGGTCAATAACAAAAGTTTCTCAATACTTTGTTATATACCCTTTGTTGGCAATGACACAGGTCAAACAGGGATGTAGCTCAGTTGATAGAGCATGGCGTTTGCAACGCCAGGGTTGTGGGTTCGATTCCCACGGGGGGGCAGTATAAAAACAAATATGTATTCACTAACTGTAAGTCGCTCTGGATAAGAGCGTCTGCTAAATGACTAAAATGTAAATGTAAAATGTAAACGTTTTCTGTAAGTCTTCACAAGGTTTTCACACACTGTTGCTGGTATTTTGGCCCATTCCTCCATGCAGATCTCCTCTAGAGCAGTGATGTTTTGGGGCTGTCGCTGGGCAACACAGACTTTCAACTCCCTCCAAAGATTTTCTATGTGGTTGAGATCTGGAGACTGGCTAGGCCATTCCAGGACCTTGAAATGCTTCTTACGAAGCCACTCCTTCGTTGCCCGGGCGGCATGTTTGGGATCATTGTCATGCTGAAAGACCCAGCCACGTTTCATCTTCAATGCCCTTGCTGATGGAAGGAGGTTTTCACTCAAAATCTCACGATACATGGCCCCATTCATTCTTTCCTTTACACGGATCAGTCGTTCTGGTCCCTTTGCAGAAAAACAGCCCCAAAGCATGATGTTTCCACCCCCATGCTTCACAGTAGGTATGGTGTTCTTTGGATGCAACTCAGCATTCTTTGTCCTCCAAACACGACGAGTTGAGTTTTTACCAAAAAGTTATATTTTGGTTTCATCTGACCATATGACAATCTCCCAATCCTCTTCTGGATCATCCAATTGTACTCTAGCAAACTTTAGACGGGCCTGGACATGTACTGGCTTAAGCAGGGGGACACGTCTGGCACTGCAGGTTTTGAGTCCCTGGCGGCGTAGTGTGTTACTGATGGTAGGCTTTGTTACTTGGTCCCAGCTCTCTGCAGGTCATTCACTAGGTCCCCCCGTGTGGTTCTGGAATTTTTGTGATCATTTTGACCCCACGGGTGAGATCTTGCGTGCAGCCCCAGACGGGGGATATCGTGGTCTGTAGTATTTTTTGTCACAGTTGAT